GCGCTGCCTGCTGGCGCACCCGCCGGCGAGCGTGGCGCGGGCCGCTGAGATCAGATCGGCGGCCGCCGCCTTCGTCGCAGAGCAGTTTGAATTCGTGTTTGGTGAGTGCATCACTTGCTGGGTCTCCTGCAAAACGCGCCTCACCTCATCTGTCCTGTTTGTGTTTGTTGCTACAATCTGTGCGCCCGCTATGCAGCACACACACGCACACACACATGTTGGCGCCCCCCGGCTCATCGGGCGGCTCCAACCGCGCCCTCCCTGCCCTGCCGCCTCACCCAACCCAGAGGACCAGCCGCGGGAGCTGCTGACTCACCTGGTGGCCCTGCTGCTGCAGACGCCGGACGGCAGCAGCGGCAGCAGCAGCAAGGGCAAGGGCAGCAGCGGTGCAGCGGATATGCAGCGGGCGCTGCTGGACCTGTGCCGCTTGACGCGGCACAGGGTTGATGCCCTGCAGCTGTCCGCACTTGAATCCGCCCTGAGGGCCGCGCAGGCCGCAGCCATAGCGGCCGTGCCGCCGGCGGCCGGCACCCCGCGCGGCGACAGCCGCGGCGGCGGCCGCGGAGCTGGCGAGGCTGGCGAGGCTCCGCCTAGGACGCCGGCGCCGGCGCCCCGCGCGCGCAATGGGGCCGGCGCCGCGTGGCGGGAGGACGCCGAGAACGCGCCCCCCTCGGCAGGCCCCGCCGCGGTCGCGGCAACGCCAGCAGCCGCCCGCAAGCCCGCGCGCTCGCGGCTGGCCGCCATGAGCGCCCAGAAACAGCCGCGTCCCGCCGTCGCCGGCGGCGCGACGCCCGCCGGCGGCGGCGCGGACAGCCTGGCAGGCATGCTCGCTTCGCGCCTGAACATTTGCGATGACGAGGGCCCCGCAGCCGGAAGCTCTCGGCGGCGCACCGGTGCAGCAGCAGCAGGGACGGGCGCAGAGGCCGCTCCGTCCGCGCGCGCCCCGCCCGTCCCGCGCAAGGCGCCGGCGCAGGCGCGGCGCGTGCGGTTCGGCGGCGGAGCCGCGAGCGGCGGCAGCAGCGCCGACGAGGATGAGGGCGGCGGCGAGGGCGTGGCTCGGCCGCCTCGCAATCCGCCGGCGGTGCCGCCCAGCGTCGCACGGCACGCAGTGTCTCGTGACCAACCCGGGGGCCACATCTTCCTCGCCCCGCCCGAGCCTCTCGCCGCCGCCGCGCGCGGCGCCGCGAAGGCGGCCGCCACGGCTGCCGGCAGGAGCCGTCTCGGCGGCGGCGCGGCCGCCGCGGCGCTGGGCGGGGCGCCGCGCGGCCG